GTCCTTGAAGTGTCTATGAACATATCACACATGGGTGGTACCCGATTAGGTACACAGGTGACCTGGTCACAGCCTTTCCCACTATGGGGAGATTTATCACATTTTTATGTAAAGTCTAATTTCTAAATTTGAATCTATCCCTGCAAATTTTATGCACACTTATATCCTCTTTGCTCCCTCTTTTTGGCTGATGCATTTCTTCTGCTTTGAGCTCTGACAAAAGGTGATCCACTGCAGAAGGAAATGGAAACCCATTCCAGTATCCTTGGCATGAAAACGCCATGGACAGGGTCATAAGGATAAAAGATATGACAACAGAAGATGACCCCCTCAGGTTGGAAGGTGTCCAATGTGCTACTGGGGAAGAGCAGAGGGCTAGTACTAGTAGCACCAGAAAGAATAAAGCAACAAGGTCAAAGCTGAAAGGACACTCAGTTGCAGATGTATCTGGTGGTGAAAGAAAAGTCCGATGCTGTAAAGAACAATATGGCAGTGATAGTTGAACTATAAGGAAGGCTGAGCACTGAAGAATTGATGCTTTTGAATTGTGGTGCTGGAGAAGACTCCTGAGAGTCCCCTGGACTGCAAAGAGATCAAACCAGTCAATCTTAAAGGAAATCAACCCTGATTACTCTTTAGAAGGTCAGGTACTGAAGCTGAAGCTCAAATACTTTGGCCACCTAATGAGAAGAAAAGATGCTGATGCTGGGAATGATTGAAGGAAAAAGGAGAAGGGGATGGCAGAGGTTGAGGTGGCTGGATGGGGTCACTGGGGTGGGCTGTGTGGCCTGTGTGGACTCCAGGGGATGGTGGAGGACAGGAAGGCCTGGAGGAATGTTGTCCATGGGGTCGTGAGGAGTCGGGCTTGACTGTGTAATTGAACAACGAAAATGCACACCACACTGGGTAGGCTTTTGGACTTGCAAAATTTCTCCTGCCTCTTCCTGTGGCACCTGTACCCAGCTTTGCCATTGCCTCTCCTCTGTATGTGTGTCCCAGTTCAGGGATCTGTGTTTCATGGACTGGACACTATGCTGGTGAGTGGAGACTAGAGCCCAGCTCTCCCAGTTCCCCAGGCCAATCACACCATGCTGGCCTGCAGCCAGAGTATTTTCCAAAGAGCACAGTGTAGACTGTAAGAAAAGAGATCCCTGCATGCAATTTCCAGGAAGAGCACCACTCTGACTAAAAACAATTTGTGACTGCCTCCATATTTGGTGACTGAGTCTCCAAGTCAGATCTGAAGACCAGCTTCAGAGGATTTGGGAATGCAGTTCTGTTCTGATAGTTCATTCAACCCAGTGGGCCCGACATGCTGACAACACATAATTCCACTTATTCACTGGGTGGTGGCAACCTTTGTGTGCTCCAGGGCAGCAATGGCTATTCTCTCAGGCCAATAAGAAGCAAGATCAGGAAACAGCTGGGGAGGGGCTCTCTGTAACTCCAGCCTGACCCCAAAAGACTCACATTTCAGCCTCCCGTCTTTTAACACTCATCAGGGCAGGCAATTTTGCTTAGGAACTCGGATCAGCTGCTCAGCTGTTTTTCAAGTTGCTTTCCAGGTTTTAAAATGACACATGCCAATGTGTTTTGAATGAAAAATACATAGCCAAAGATATATATGGTCATCTTAGATCACTATGTGGACTTCACTTCCCTCGGCTTTGTGGCTCCTATACATGTAAACCTCTCCCCTTTTCTCCAGTAAGTAGGGATGGATCAGAAAATGTGGGTTTGTCTCTTCCTCATTTTCCCCATTAAGTTTGTTCTGTCTTGCTTCTGTATCACTTTGCAGCTTTTTAAAAAGACTCTGCATGAACATTTATTAGAATTTATGAAATTGGCCATCTAAGTCATCTGCAGGGCAGGAAGTGCAGGGATGCAACACCAGCATCCATACCTCTTCTGTAATCAATAAGAAGATCATGGGCAGCCATGCTAGACTGCACTGTGTACTATGCACATTTGCCTAATAAACACATATTTGCATACATGTGACTAATACACATATTTTGCAAGGTATTTTCTGCAGTAGAATGTTGCATTATGCATTTTTGTCCATTTTTTCATGAAGGTATGCAGTTTTTATTTCCATTTTGGTAGAATGAATACGTTTTGTACAGATGTCTTCCCCTCCAGTAAACCGCCTTGCAAAATTTGGAGAGGTGCGAGTACTCAAGAACTGTGTCCTCATTTGTATACGGATTTGGGAAGTGCAAACTGGATGAATTCTAATTGCAAGCTGATTGAAGTTCTCGCCCATCCCTCTTAGTAAGGAGGCAGTAGCACAAAGCATCTCTAAAGCAATACCCACGCATCATGTTATTTAATAGCGGTATATGTTAAAAAGAACTATTTTTGTGCATCAGTGTTTTGTGGAGTCTGGAGTTTCATCTCAAGCTTGTGAGAAGACAAGTCAAGGTGGCAGGGTTCCCGAAAGGATATCTCTTTCCCAGCTGATGATTTTGCCGTGTCCTCCTGCAGGAGAGTGTTGGGTGTGTTTTACAGCCCTCACACAGTTCCTACAGAGCAACAGGGCAGCCCTTCAGGCCTGGTCATGACCTGCTGTGAACTCAGGTGCCATAGTAGCTTTCCCAGGATCCTGTGCAGCACATTGGGCTTCCATGGCCTTTGCACAATGTTCCTCAGTAGGCAGGAGAGTGGAGAAAATCTTCCCCGGGTAGGGAAATCAGACCGGATGCCATCTTACCTCTTTTGAGGTGGAATCTGGCTTACCCAGCCCTTCAGCTACCCCATAACGATCCACATATTGAAGCCATCCCACTTTTTCCCACTTTGGACACTGACTAGAGCAACCTTTCCCAACCTGGTGCTTCACAGATGCTTTGGCCTACAACCTGTGGCATTCTTGACCATTAACCATTCTGGCTGGTGCTTCTGGCAGTTGACTTTGGAAACATCTGGAGGGCATCTGGTTGGGGAGGGCAGGGCTGAGACCTCTTTGTTGTACTGAACATTGGCACCACCCCATAAATCCAACACAGGTCTCTTGTTATTCCCATATAATGATCAGGAGTGAAGTTGGCATGACGAGGTCAGGGAGTGCCTTTTCTACGAGATAGGTTCACATCTTTCCTACTTGCTTCTTTCCATTTAAGAAACAGATCACCTGTAAGAGAGGTGTTCAAATTCCCTTGTCTTGGAAGGTTATTCCATCTACCTACCTACCTACCTACCTACCTGTCCACCCACTCATCTATCTTATATGGTGCACATCCCAATTCTTCAGATTTATCTTACTGAGAACCACCAAGGAAGCAAAGTAAAAGCACAAGCTGTTTGTAAGTTTTTACTACTGACAAGGTTCTATTCAGACGACTGAACAGGAGTGACACACGAGAAGAGCAAATTAGTCTTTTGAGGAGCTAGCTTGATTACAAATGCAGGCGACAAGCATACACAGGAAGCTCGAAATGTGGACGGCTGAGAAAGCACCGATCCCCCAAGCTGCTGTTGATGAAGGTCAGTGTGTATGATGAGATCAATAAACTCAGAGAAAAAGGATCACCATCCCTGGCTTTTAGGTCTGAAATCATCCTCAAAATGTGACACTAACTAAGATCTTCTGAAGGAAGGCCAAGCGATTGGTTAAGAAAAGTCCCTCCTGCAGTACTTCCGCTTTGTTGTGTGTTTTGGAAGGATGGGAAGTACAAAAGCCAAGTTTCCCTGTACAGCATTTTCTCTGTTAGTGTAACATAGAGAAATACCACCCTAATTAGAAAATAGGATAGTTGGTGATAGATTCTGAAGTCTGCAGAAGAGCAGGAGAACTTCTGAAGTGACTTTTCTGAACTTCAGACAGGGTTCGGACATGCCATCACACACGTGCCTTGCCTATGCAGTCACTGATATTGCCAATAAGGAGGCAACACTCGACTCACGGGGCGTGGGTCCCACTGAAGTCAATGGGGCTAACACTGGGTTGCTCTCCTTTGACTCATTTTGGCTTCAGGCATGCAGTGAGCTGCAGAAATAATCCAGACAGAGCAAATTATTTTCTAGTACTAATCCTGGGGAAATGGGAGGCAAGAAGGGGAAATCATATGCCTACAATATATATTTCAAATGCAAAAAGGAACCTGATTAGGATCTCAGTCATTACTTTAGCAAAGCAGGTGGCCTTGTCATTCACAAAGAAATTGTGTGGCAAGAACGGCTTCTGTAACCCACCTGAGAAGATTTCTTTAAAAACAGTTTAGCTCTCATTACATTGTCCATTGGCAACTCCTGGCCTATTGCTGACTTTTCAACAGTTGGAAAGCAAATGAAAAATGGGCATCACAATAAAGGATTGTTATGAAGTACAGAAGCCACCATGCCTTGTCCTTACAAGTGGGCCAGAAAAATGGCTTGGTCATGAAGCCAGCTGGGTGTGAAAACCTTTCTTTGGCTCTCCCAGCTCTGTGTAAAGGCTAAATTGGGGGCTATCACAGATAAGCTGTGTAACCAAAGGGTGGAGATGTGATTATAGTTCATCTCTGCTGAGAATTCAACATCCAGGTTACAAGAGGAAGTTCTTACAGGTCAGTTTTGCAGTCTGTTTGGAGATAATTTGTCTCAGACTCTGCTGCCATTAATTAGGATATAAAAATTAAGCAGGGGGAATTCAAGAGCTGAAACCTCTGACAAGGTATCTTAACAAAATGGACTTGCTTTTGATCCATCCAAAGTGTGAGCCGGTGTGTGTTTCCCTTCCATGTTTGGAGCTTGCATGTTTTGAGAAAAATGTTTTGATTCCATATCAGGTGTTGTGTTATAAAGTGCTCTTAGTAAATCTCCTGATAAGGGGTTTAAAAAATTGTAGGGCATATGAGCAAGTCTACTTTTCTAAACTAGGATGCCTTCTTCTCAAATCTTGTAATTTAAACACTGTTTTCTATCCAAGCCCACGTTGAAGGATGCAAATGCCCCCAGATGCTGCCTGTACTTGACATTCCTCCAACTGTCATTCTTCAGCAACCCATTTTGAAGGAGGCTCAACATTTCTTCCGTGTCTTTACAACTTTACTGTAATACCTGACTGGAATCCCAGAGGACCCGATGAGATAGACATCAAACAAATAGACAGTTCCTGCATTAAGTCCCTTGATGGTTTCTGTTGTCACTGCCCGTTGTAGATTGAGATCATGGAAGTATTTGCACATCACCTTGTCATCTTTCCTTCTCAGTTCAGGTCCAGAGCACCTGTCCGCATTCCTGGTTTCCATCCACACCTGGTCCTCCTGAATCTCTTTCTTGTACACGCAGTATTTGCTCAGTTGCTGGGTTCCTAGCCAGGCGATGGTGACTGAATCACAAGTTCTCAGCTTACTGAAGGACTTGATTTTTAAGCTTTCTGGGAGAACTGGGAAGAAGGGTTTGTAGAAGAGGGAGGACACCTGGACCTTCACTGAATCATTGGAAGGCTCTGCAGACCACAGGTGTACCAAGTATCTATCGCCCACCCGTCCCTTCACCATGAAGTGTCTTAAGCCAGCAAAATTCTCGGACATCAGCAGCTTTCCACCCCTGGATATTTTAACTCGTATTTGGCCACTGCAAGACTGGAAGGCAAACTGGACCTGTGTGTGCTTGGCCTGGTACCGCAAGTGGTAGGGTTTTTGTTTCCTCCCATCCACGTTGAACTGGATCACCTTCCCATCCTTGAGCTCAGTAACCTTGGGCTCTGGTTCTTCCAGAGTTCGGGCAAAGGTGCCTGTGTAGGCAGCACTGGCATTGGAGAGAAAATTGACCACAAACACATCAAAGTAATACTGGGTATTGGGGGAAAGGTTGGGCACTGTGTAGGTGTTCTTGGTGCCCACACAGATCTGCCTCACCTCCCCATTGCTGGATTTGCTCACCATGTTCATTGCACCATTGGACAGAATCGTCACGTGCTGAGGGTCCAGGATATGAGGAGACAGAGAGAGGGCCAGTGGTTGTTGGGATTTCATCCCAGATAATCTGATGGCTGCCTCTGCTGCACATAAACTCTTGTGGTTGTGCTTTTCGTTCATCAGGAGACAGTACTGCACCTTTTCCTTGTACTTCAGGACTGTTGGGCTATGTTTCCAAGCCAGAGTTACAGTGGTGTGGCCAACGCTGATGACGTCTATGCGTGGATCCATTGGAAGTTCTGGATACAGGTGCTCAGAGGTTGTGTCAGTGGTTAGATACACGGTGATCTGGGTGTCTCTTTCAATGGATAGGAATTCGAGCATATAGACGGCAGAATAGTAGGACATCCCCGTGTAGGTTTCCACAGAATTGCCTCTGTAGCTATAAAGAGTAGACACCATCTTCGTGGTCTTCTGAAACTTTCCGGCTTCGTGGATGTCCAAATTATCTGTCAACAAAATGTAGATATATATAATACTTAGGGACAGGTTTGAGGGTCCACATGGCTTCATGGCTGGTTTGCTTTGGTAAAGTTCCTCAAACTGAACAGTGTGCCACTCAATATGCTCTCCCACCCACCTTCAGAACCAACCTTCTCTAACTTGGTGCTCTACAGAGGTTGTGGACTACAGTTTCTGGTGAGAGTTGTAATCCAAAACATCTGGAGGGCAGCAGCTTGGAGGAAGCTGCTCAAAGCTGGAGAGTATAATTTTTTCTTGATGACCAAACAAAGGTCAGGGCCATCAGTCCTGTCACAAATGCCCCAGGATTCTCTCCTGTTGTCTGAAAGGTTCAATAAAGCTGAGGAGTGAATCGATAATTTCAAGTAGTCATGGAACCCTTGGGACATTTGTGAACTTTTGCACGGGGCCTCTTACCATGTGCTTCCTTCCGGAGGTAGTTTGCAGAAGTCTTGTGGACCCGTATGTTCCACTCGATGGGGACATCGCACGGCGTCACTGTCACTGCGAATGGTGCAGACATTCTGCCTTCCTCTAAAACAAAATAGTACCTGGAAGTGAAGTGAAGAGGCACATGGAGCATGTGAGAGTGCTGAGGCTGATTTTACAGGCAAAGCAAAAGGGAAGAGCTGTGTGAAGCCAAACAGAACAACACACCCAGGAATAACGCCAAAGGAAAAGGGACACACTCAGATAAAATGAGTTCAAAACCTTTTAATTCAAATGCAAGTGCACTATATGCACCCCAGAACCCACGTGTGCCTAAGTTGAAGCAAGAACATTGAACAAGCAAATACAAAGGGAATACAAGTTGCAGATTGGCTTAATATGACCGTAAACAGAGAGCAAATGCATAAACCCCAACCTCTTCTTTGCAAGGTAGAGTGTGCTACTCCAGAAGGCAATGGGATGTGGAGTCCAGCATAAACAAAAATTCTGGGTGCCTCTATGCGGCAATAATAAATAGTACATACAGCAACAACAAACTACTATTATCAATGTACTATCTCCGTGCAACGGTAAGACTATTATAATGCATTTATATGCTATGTTTTTGTCTCTTGCAAGGCAGGTTACATAGTCCTCCTCCAGTCCATTTTATTCGCACGACGACAATCCTGTGGGGTAGACTAGGCTGAGGGTGAATGACTGGCCCAAAGTCACCCAGTGGGCTTCATGGCTGAGTGGGGACTGGCACCCGCATCTCTCAGGTCCCCAGTCCAACACTTGAATCACCACACCACACAACACACTAGAGTAGGTTGTCAGTCAACAACTCTGGAAAATGATTTTGTTTGCATGCTTACTCAGAATAATCAATCTATCTTTAATTTTCTGTTCTCCGTTGTAAGTGGCAGCCAAGGGCAGGCTATAAAATCCTTGATTTGGAACACTGGAGCAAGATTTGGAATATTGTTTAGGTAATATGATTTTTTTCCTCCTGTTCTGGCATGGCTTCTGGCAATTGGCTGCACTGAAGCCCCTCTGTATTTTCAAGCTCTCAGAGCATGGTAATTAAAAGGAACAATGTTGGCTGCTGCTTGGAACAGATAAAGAAAATTAAATGTTGGTGTCTACATTTGGCAGTCAGGGAGTTGCATGAAGATGGAGGGAAGTGACTGAACACTTGCATGTCTGTGCAGAACCACCAGGAGGGCCTCACCTAAGGACGCCGAGTGAAGGAACTCTCCCAAGTACCCCAGTCCTCATTTCCGGCTTTATATAAGAATCCTCAAAATGGACTGGGTAGCAAAAGTTTTCAGCAGGTTCTTTACCATGTGTGCAGTACCCTAACTCTTTTTGCTCTGGTGCCTGAAGGGAACCATCTGACTTTCTCTCCCTGACTGTTGTGTGAGCTTTCTAGATGTGAAGGTAAATGACTGGTGTTTTAGGGTTAACAGGACTAAATTAGAAAACAGGTTTCTACCTTGCCCAAACCTGGTAATCACAGAGGACTTCAGTGTGATCAGTCTATCACAAATTAAACCACATATTTCTACACATGAATTCTGTGATAAACTATTGCAGTATATCTTTTTTATAGTTTTGTTAGCAACTGTGAGCAAGATTTGTAGCAGAAAGGTTGGATATATATTTAAAACTATTAAACTATCATTCTTATTGTCAAGAGCCCGGGAACCCAAAGATCTCACAGAATTAATCTTTCATTTTTGGGTTTCTCCTTCAAAATCTCAAATCTGTCTTTTTTTGTGGGGGGGGGGACACCTTATCATATCATAGTGTGATTGTAGCATTTTATTTATCATGGGAAGAAATGAAAGACCATTTAAGGCTGCCTCACCTTTTTGGTATATCCTTGACGAGGTGGATGGAGGTTTCCTTGCCATTTGCAAGAATCATTGTGTGATAAAAGTGGGAAAGGTCGCTCTTGAAACTTTGCTGTGAAGTGCCGGCCTTCTCCGCAGAATGACAGATGCATGAGAGCAAGAGAAGCCAAGAGGGTAGGTGAGATTGGCTTCTAGAGATCATCTGTGCTAAAGGTCTGGAAGAGGATAATAAGAGGCTGAATAGACTTTTTAAAACAGCAGGTATTACTAATCAATCATTATAAAATTGCAGGCTTTACTTGTGTTTAGCTTCTGGCTCCCCTCTACCAATATTTGTACTCTCTGCTCCCATATTAATCTCACACAAGCTGGGAATCCAGGTGCAGAACAGGTGAGGCGGTGAGACCAACTGGGCAGCTCTACCGCTCTGAGGGATGCCGCTTGGCATCTGATTGCTAAAAAGGGAAGGACAGATTGGGGAGTGGATGAGCAGGGCGTGACTGGCAAGTCATTCTGGAGATTGGCCATTGGACCCATGCACTCACCCCCAACTGCTATTCATCGCTTCTCAAAGGAACCTTAAAGCCAAACTTATTTGCTGATCAGGAAATGCACCGCTCATCATCCATGATGTCATGTCGACAGGGACATTTGAGATGTGCGTGAAGTAACAGTGGCCCATTTACTGGCTGTATTTTCCATTCATGCTGGGACAATCCGACCTCACTAAAACAGAAGCACTTCTTTGAGGGAAGATGCCTGGATCCTAATAAAGTGGTAACAAGTAGGCATCACTTTTCTGTACAAACTGGTCCTCTGGAAAGAGCACTGAATCAGAAGGTAAAGCAAGGTGAATCTAGGTCAGAGACAGACTTGAACAAATGTCATATCCTCCACTTATGAACAAGAAACCAAATGCACCACTACAAGATGGAGGACACTTGGCTCGACGATACTGCAAATGGGAAGATCTTGGGGTTGTTGTAGATCAAAAGCAAAAAATGAGCCAACAACGTGATGCAGCTGCAAAAGGGGCAAATGCTATTCTGGGCTGCATTAACAGAAGCATCACTTCCAAAACATGTGAAGTACTAGGTCCACTATACTCAGCACTAGTCAGACCTCACCCGGAGCACTGCGTCTAGTTCTGGGCACCTACATTTTAAAAAGATGCAGAAAAGCTAGAAAGGATACAGAGGAGGGCAGCAAGATGATTCAGGGTCGGGAGGCAAAGCCCTGTGAGGAAGATTGAGAAAACTAGTCAAGTTCAGCCTCAAGAAGAGAAGTCTGAGGGGAGATATGATAGCCCTCCACAAGTACTCAAAAGGTTGTTACAAAGAGGATCTCTTCTCAAACACCCCAAAGTGCAGGACACGGAATAATGGGCTTAAGTTAAAAGAAACCAGATTTGGACTAGACACCAGGAAGAATTTCCTCTCTGAGCAGTATGAAACGGAACCTATCACCTGGGGAAGTTGTGGGCTATCCCTCGCTGGAGACATTCGGAAAGTGTCTGGACAGCCATCTGAGTGGGATGGTGTAATTTAGTGTCCTGCAGCGGCAGGGGGTTGGACCTGATGGCCTTCTGGCCCCTTCCAGCTCTACTATTCTCTGAGAGAAAGCTGCCAAGTTTTGCAAACAAATGATAGTTGCAGGAGGAAGGGTCTGAAGGCAGGGGGTGCTCTTAGAACATTCTCCATTTGGGGAAAAGCCTCTTTCAACTGAATTTGAGTAGTAAATAGAAGGGAAAGTGGAACATTTGATTAGCGGATAATGGCAAGAGAGAGCAGGAAGCTATAAATGTACAAAAACAGGGAAGCCACTTTCGTTATGTCTATTTATTCCCCCCTGCAATAAATAACAATAGCTAAAAAAGCCGTGCACCATACCAATTTTTCTTAACATTCCTGTTAATGGCACTTACCTTTGCATTGCATCTGAAATTAAAATTCTACTCTGTCAGCGTTGCTTCCCAACAGCTAATATATTTCATCAACTGATAAATATAACACTGCCTTCTATTAAAGTGAGAGCATTTGAAATTTTAAATGCCTATTTGGGATTTTAAATGCCTTGGTAAAATTTAAAGCAGGTCAATGCATGGATCCTAATATATATAAAATAATGAATCTAATACAAATGAAAGATGCATGCAAACATTTTCTGCATATTGCTCTCCTAAAGAAATTATTTTCTATTAATATCCTCATTCTGTTTTGAAACATCTCTTTGGCAGTTCCTTTGCTCAAACTGCATCTTAAAAGCTCAACAGAAATGCTTGACACAAACTTTAGGTTTTCTGTCTGCTGCTGTCCCAAAGATAAACTACGGTAATCTATTTTACTGACTACAAATCCTTCTAACTGAGAAAGCCTGGTATAGCAATCTTATCTCAAACAGAATATTGAGCTCAGGTTGAATTTCATTTGATTAAATGAAACCGAAATAATCAGATTCTTGGACAGATGGACGCACACACGTGTGTGTGTGTGAGAGAGAGAGAGCTCACGCGCGCACACACACACACACACACACACACGGGTTTGGGGAAATACCATTTTATTACACTTACCTTTAGAGATATTATCCTGACAACTTTTTTTCCCAGTTTCTTTCCTCTAACCCACAGCTCTTGGGATCTTTGCTGGAGGATGGAAAGCGCAATTGGGAAACCTGTTTAACAGGGTGAACTGATTTTTCCATATGCTTCAAGCAGGATGAAATGAAAAGCTGTTAGTCCTACAGGCAGAGAGAGAGCAGAGAAAAAGGACTGGTCATCTCTGATTTTCCCTTAAACCTGCACCGTTGGTATATCTTCAGAAACAGGCAGTCCTGCTTCTGCAGTTCTTTTCAGGGGGAAAAATAACTTTGCCTTTGCAGAGCCAGGATTAGTCCTGCGTGGAAGGTGTTAGGCAGGCAGCTGGGCTGGAAAGGAGAGCCATGTCCCAGGCATGTCTGTGCTCAGAGTAGGTCTTTGACAGAAAGCAAAAGAGCATATATGAGCTGAAGTGGAGGGTGTGTGTGCTCATTTAACCCTTTTGTAGTATTAGCTAGCCCAGAGCGTGGTTATCTCTGTGCATATATTTCCATTGGGCGAGAAGAAGGATTTTCTGGCAGGATTGCATCCAGACTGAATGTGCCATTTGCAACTTGAGAACTGGCTGTTTTTAACATTCAGTGTCTAAAAACCGAAGGGCCTGCTGGCATTATTAGTATTTATAGTGCTATTTCTGTAAGCTCAGACGTTGGAATTGTGGAATGGGAAAATGGATGCACATAATGAAGCATCTGCCAGAGACAGAAAACTAAAAAATTAGGGGCCTGGTGAAACAAATGCCAGGTATGAGAACCAAAAAGGTTTCATTGCAGGATTGAAGGCATCTGCTTCACATCCACCCGGTAATTTAATATCAGTCTTTCTAAGAGCCAGTGTGGTGCAGTGGTTGAGAGCGCAGAACTGGGACTCAGGAGGTCTGGATTCTGGTCTCCACTCAGTCATGGGGCCTACTGGGTCAGTCATACACTTTCAGCCCAGCCTACCTCACCGCGTTGTTGTTGTGAGGATAAGACTGAGAGGAGTAGAAGAATTATGGAAGCCACCTTGAGTTCTTGGGAAGAAACAAAGTGGGGTATAGATAAAGACAATGAATTGTTGGAGATGCAAGCATCCCATTTTGATAAAAATCAGTTGTTCATAAAATGATGGGTAGCTGGATTTGATGCATGTTCACCAGAAGTAAAGTGCCACTTTGTCCTAAGGGACTCTGTTCCAAGTAAATATGCATAGGATTGCTGCCAGAATGTGAGTTTATAACATATTAATGCATGGATATGCAATAACTGTAATGAATCATTAGGATAACTGCCACCACAATGAAATAATGCAGCTACTTGCCTGTAATGCCAAGCTGGCAGGGGCTGAGCTCCTTGTGGATTGCACCTGCCACCATTCTGAATCTACAAGCAGCCTGTGGCTTGTGGTGTTGGGCAAATGCGATGTCAAGAGTTGTTTGAAGATGTAGACGACCCTCAGAGAACTGTCATGCTATATTGGGGATACTTGAGGGTTGTCTACTGCTTCAGAGAATCCGCAACACTAGGTTTGCATGACACTGAGCAGGGGCACCTTCAGACACAGCAAAAAGTGTGCCTGGGCACCTATTGCAAGAACCCTCCATGGGGGTTGTTGTGTTGTGTGAACTGACATGAGTCACTAGCACGTAGATCTTGGTGTTAGAGGGGCATCCAAGTCATTGTGATACCAACAGTTTTGTCAGATGAGATAACCCTGGTGCAGACATTTTGGATCTGTTGAATTTACTGTTGCCTTTCAAGGAGAGCCAGTGTGGTGTGGTGGTGAAGAGCACGGGACTGGGACTCAGGCGATCTGGGTTCTAGTCCCCGCTCAGCCATGGAGCCAACTGGGTGACTTTGGGCCAGTCACAGACTCTCAGCCCAACCTACCTCACAGGGTGGTGGTTGTTGTGGGGATAAGATGGAGGAGGAGATGCAAGCTGCCTTGATCCCTTTGTAGAAAAAAGGCAGGATATAAATCAATCAATCAATCAATCAATAAAATATACTATGAAAAAGGGTTCCCCTCAGACAAAATCAGAGCCGCAGCCTCCACAGCTTCTTGGACCAACATTCCCAATCGTGGGTAAAGATCCCACAAGTGCAATAGAGCTGGACTTTAGCCAGATCTTTGCAGCCATACCTCCACCTATGCTCAGCCTGTATATATAAAGAGATAAACATTACAAAACACTAATTAGAATTCAGTAATCTATGCCACATCTCAGAAGTCCTTCTTCCAAATTTTGCTTCCAGTGTAAAAGCGATTTAGCTGATGCATACCAGACAGCAAGCTGCTTTCATATTTTGCTACAGCCTACACAGCTGAGTAAATGTGCCTAGGTATTGGTTTCTATTCTTCCACTTTTAGCAAATTCTTGCCATGTGTGTCATTTTCCATAGAAAGTGGCGCCTGGTTTCCCACTGCCAAACTGGACGGAATAGGTATTTGTTCCAACTCCAGCGGAGGGTGGTTTGTGCATTAAAGATGAATCCTCCTGCTCAGAAATGCATGTTGGCTCCAGCTGGTCTCAAAGGCACCACATCTCTTTCTGCAGCTGCACTTTGTCCAATAAAATGGTGGGATGTGACAGATAAACTCCTTCTGGAGATGGAACAAAGGGCGGCCGAGTCAAATAG